CTTGCTTCCCCAGGTGAAATCAAATTTAATGTCATTTAGAGGACTGCAGGTAAAATAATAATTGATTTATGGTCACATACTCAAATAGTCCCATTACTCAAATTTTTGTATAAACAGGCTAAAAATAATATTTGCCATTCTTAGAATTTTGTCCAAAGAAAGAACCTTTTTAAAAGGAGAATTTTTCAAGCGCACATTTAAGAAGTTCATTTAGAAATGAAGGTCTTTAGTTCATATCCATGGTCCCTGGACCCATTTCCAAGCAGTAACTTACAGCAGGGCGTCTGTCCTTTGTGTGTGTGTGTGTTATTTTACAATGTTCCCTTCCATATATATATATATATATTTTAAGCAGGAACACCTTGTACATGTATCCATTGCTCCTCCATGCTCAGACCCAAGTACCCTTTCTGCAACAATTATTTTCCTTATTCATTTTGTGTGTGTGGTTTTGAGACAGGATCTTGCCATGCGTAACCCAGGTTGGTCTCACTGATCAGTCTTCCTATGTCACACTCCTACATGCTGTACTTACAGGCATGTGCCATTGTTCCCACATCTAAATATGTTTAGCTTTCTGTTTGGTGTCATGAGAGAAGTTAGAATGCTCTTGAATCAAGTTCACAAGAAAACGAAACTTCCAAAGAGACAGCCAGTGGTTCAATGGCAGCGGGCACCCTCTGTCAGATTGGATGTCCCAGGACGGGTGGTGAATGCTGCATCCCCATCTCAGCCAAGAACACAGAGAGGAGAATAGTAAGCATTATCTGCTCAGCTCCTCTGTACCGGCCATTTTAATTTACCCTCGTAAATGTAAACGCCCTACAGTTTTTGTTTGCTTAGTGTTCTCAAGGGCTATTCTTTGAGCAAAGCAGCTGCCATTTTCATCAGCTCAGTCGTGCTTGCTCCCAAATCCATCACAAGAAGAGTGGGGGGAGGATCATAGGACCCTCATCCAGGACTCCATCTGATCCCTCCTGCACCTTCCAGCTATTTGTATGCCATTCTGCTCACATTGTAAGTGACCTCGAATGAGGGAGGTACTACAGTATATAAATTGGGAAAGGTTCACTATAATAGGAGAAAACACTATCAATATGGCTGATATGGCTATGAAGTAGTCATTATCCATGCTGAGTGGAGATTTCCCCGGGTCCTTTCCCATAAGAAGTTCCTCAACCTATACTCTGTAAGCCCAATAAACTCACCAGTTTCCTGGCTTGAACTTGGGTGGGATCACACCTTGGTTTCTTACTAGGACCTTCTAAAGAGGAGTCATATGTAGTTTATGCTTCTCAGGGAAGGAATTCTCACAATATTCAGGTTCCTTCTTTAAGCAACTCTTCAGGAAGCCGAGCTATGCCCTACATAGTGGCTTTTGGTCCCAGTCTGGAACTGACAGAGGAGAGAATTCCGAAAACCAGATGTGCATCTTCTGGTTGCCTGGCAACTGGGTGACAGAGCTAAGGGAAAATGGTTTTCAAGTGAGCACTTTGTTTGCCCTAAGCAGAAACACTTAGGTCAAGCAGAACCAGCAATACTGTGTACCTTATGGAAGCATCTGGAAGGGTAGGGGACAGATGGTATATTCAAAGAATCTGAAGAGGTGTGTTGGGTGTGTCCAAGGCAGTGACCTACCTATAGACTCAGAACCTTTAGGAGCTGTTGCCTTCTAAATGTTAGGTTGTGATTATTTTCAACTTGACTTGGTTTACAATAATCTAGGAGGCACATTTCGAGGCATATCAATGAGGGTGTTTCTCGAGAAGTTTACTTGAGAAGACTAGAGTGTAAGCCAAAATCCCCCATTTAGTTGGCTTCTTTGCTGGGTATGTTGTCACAGCAAGAAGAAAATTAACTACTAACTACCGAGGCATTTAAAATAATGTGCATTTCAGTAAGAAGATGCTGGGGTACCCATACAGTATTAAGACAAGATCAAATTTCAAATTACATCTAGATTTGTTAATGAAGCAGTAATGAATCAGACAGGGTGTATTGATAACCCAACACTACATGAAGATATGTAGTGACTTGCTCAATATATGTGTATGTATATTTATGTGTATGTTACGTGTATGTGTGTGTGCAAAACAAAACCACAATCTTTCATTCAAAGTCATGGTAGATCATATCTAGAAAATCCAGTACATACTAAATCAAAATATTTGCATGAATAAAATGAAATCAAGGTCTAGGCTCAGATAACAACAGAGTTTTTTTATCTCCAAGAATCTCAGAGGTCATAGAAAGTGTATGGAGAAATATCTCCATTTCATGAAGAACCAGTGGGGATATCTGGAAACTCTCATTAAGTTCCAATTTGCAAGTTCCCCCCTCTTACTCAATGTGATATCCAACAGCACAGATTGTTGAAATGCCTCTAGTTGGGTACAGAGAGCATTTAGGACTTGGCTTGTGCTTGTGGCTCTTCATGAGAACCCCACAGGGCATTTTACTGACCTTGCCCATTGTTGGGCGCCATATATTTTGGAAATCTATTCCACCCTGCCATGAGTTCAGCAGAGCCCAGAATTTCTATTGTCTTTCATATGTCAGCTAATAGCTGCTTCATGTCCTAGCTTCTATCTAAATAGCAATAGACTTGGGCTAGGGTGAGTCTACACTCACCCTGAAGGCTAGTTAGACATGCTGGGGTGAAGGTGCCTAAAGGCTTGGGTACTTGCTGCAAAGGAGTGTCTTTAGGATTAAGGAAAAGAATTGCTGTTAGTCATTTATACATGATAATAGATGTCTTCTGCCATTACCCACACCTTTGGACGGTTACTTAAGATGATACACCAATAAACAAGGCACAGTCAGTATTGACTGACCCTGCCCTCCTGTTATGATGAGATGTTTTTGTCTTTTCTTTAACTTCTTGGGTAGCTAGACTTCCCTCATCTACCCTCCCCCACTCAGGGTCTGACCCAGGTTTGTTCAGCTGGTTCCGATCACAGCCCCAAAGACATCAGTCTGCGATAGCCTATGCCAACATTGACAGTTGCAGAACATTCACACATATCAGTGTGCCAGCTATTAGTGTACATGAGTACTGTAGTGATATCATTTACAAATTGACCTTTTGCATCTGGTTACAAATGTTGCAAAGATGATCTTTCTACAATCGTTTTTTGTGTACTTGTGCAATCCAAGCTCATAGCCAAAAAGTACATGTTTCCAGAGCCAGCTGACCTGAGCTTGTGGGAGATCACGAACTCTGGACAGACAGCTAGGAAGCCCTCATGGGACCGATCTAGGCCCTCTGCATCTGGGTGATAGTTGCGGAGGTTGGGCTTTTGTGGAACCCCTAGCAGTGGGACCAGGACCTGTCTGTGATGCATGAGCTGGCTCTCTGGAACCTATTCCCTATGGTGGGATGCCTTGTTCAGCCTTGATGCAGGGAAAGGAGCTTGGTTCAGCCTCAACTTAATGTGCCATGCTTGGTTGATTCCCATGGGAGCCCTTACAGAATCTGAATGGAGATGGAGGAGGAGGAGATGGGGCGGGTAGAAAGGAAGTGGGAGGAAGGAAACAAGAGGAGAGGAGAGAGGGGAAACTGTGGTTGGTATGTAAAATAAAAAAGTACATGTTTTACATGTTCAGAATTTTTACTAGGTTCATCAAATTAGTCTCTAAGTTATTGTCAAATATTCTTATTGGTGGCCTTATCCATGCCTTCCTGGCCTTCCATCTTGATCTTATTTATTTATTTTTTTTAGAGATGAAAAGGAGGATTTTCAAACGTCCAACTAAAAGCTCTTTTTGGCTTGTATTACATTAGTTGGTTGCTGCCAACCTTGATTCATGTCTTTATAGAGGACATGCCTATGGAAGAGAAATTGGACTTCCAGTGTTTTCTATAGTACAACAGGGGTCATGAGTGAAGGGTAGACAAACAGAAGTTTTGGTGCCAAGAAGGCAAGATGCTTCAAAGAGCTCTAGCCAGCCAGCTAATGAGTGGGCCTGCCTGGAGAGATAAGGGGTGCTGTCCTCATACTGGAAATTTTCAATTTCAGGCTGGATGGACAACACTAAAGTGTTCAAGGAGAGATTGCTGAGTTCAGTGGCTTATGCAACAAGGTCAGTGTAGCCCACAACACAGTATCTGGGGTACAGTGTTGGTGTGAAATGAGTTTCAGCGGTATGAACTTTACAGACGTTTTAATTTGGTGTGTGTTCAGTTGTCTATGGCAGCATCATGTTGCTGTGTGACTAGCAGATTACGCATCTTAATGTGCAAAGGTGGTGCCACCTAAATAATCTCTGAGCACAAATAAGCTTCATGGCTCCTAGGTCTTTTGGAACCCCAGACTCCATAGTTCTAAATCTAACCTCAGTCCTGCTAAAATGTCAATTAGTACAATGACTTCTAAATACCAGCCTTGTTACATTTATTACAAGAAATTGCAACAGAAGTCAACTGTAGTACAACCAGGTATCGAAATATTTGAAATTTGGTACAGGTGTTATTTTTTGTTTGTTTTTTTGTTTTTGTTTTTGTTCTTTTGTTTTTCAAGATAGGGTTTCTCTGTATTGTTTTGGAGGCTGTCCTGGAACTCGATCTGTAGACCAGGCTGGCCTGGAACTCACAGAGATCTGCCTACCTCTGCTTCCCGAGTGCTAGGATTAAAGGCATGAGCCATCAATGCCCGGCTGCAGGGGTTACGTTTTAGTTAAAAATGAGAGCCTTAAATTGCAGATGACAACCTATGTGAAATTACATTCAAATGAATAATTTACGGGAAATACTAATATTTTGAGGAATCTGTTAGCATTTGCTCTGGGACCAACTGTGTGTATTTTCAACGGATTCTGAAGTAAAATAAACACAGGTGTTGACAGTAACATTCCTTTACCCCATCAACACTTGTAAGATCTACCTTGATGGGAAAGTAACATGGTCTGTCTTCACACACACACACAGTCTTCCAAGACTGTCATGAAGCTACCATCCAGTCATTTCAACCCATGATGGATTTAAAATATAAGCGTATGCATTGGAGATCTGAGGCAAATATTTATTTAATTTATATAAATTGTACATGATGTTCATGGGACTATAAACACAGACAGATTTTAAAAATCAATTCAAGATACACCCAAAAACCACTTCCACCCTTCATTGATGCCATTCATTAAATACCTCTATCTGGGTAGTTCATAATAATTGTAGAGTTTGATTTCTATTATTTAGATCATGTTAGAAATAAAGGACCTCTCTATCCCTCTTCTTTAAATGCCTATAAGATGAGTAGCATGGACATATTACCAGACCAGTGAATTTACCCTTCTGGCAACTGAGCAACAATCCATTAACAAAGGATTATGCATCTGAACTGGCTTTCTTCCACGTATAAGCATCATCAATTCTATAATTCCTGTAACTAAGAACAAAGCAAACTGGAAAAAAATTCTCCCAAATGACTAATTTGATTCATTGACCACAACACTAACACCTATACAAGATGAAAAATACACCATAAAACCATTACTTAAATATGATGTTTGAAATCCAAGCTGAGAAATTATAGTATTTGAAATTGACTCATCATAGCCACTCTGATATGATATACTTTAATTAGGAGAAAAACATCATTCATATACACAATTCTCTTAGTAAAATTTTCTATTTCTTGCTAATAACACATTTTAATTTACTTCAGAAAAATGTACTGATCTTATTCAAATATATTTTTCTAAAATATAAATATTTAAATTAAAATTTTAAAAATGGAGAAGACAGTTTTTGTTGACTCTTATCCAGATATCAATCAGTCTAAAACTTAAGCAATAAAGAAACCATGTCTGTAATTATGACCAATTTAATTTGTCTATAAATATATAATAGAATCTTTGCAACTTGAGTAATTAACTCAAACTTCATGTAGTACCGAGCACCTTAGATTACATAATGTTAAATGAAACTATTGGCATTAATTATATGTATCATGTTATTTACAATACATAAGTATAGTTCTCTTGTATAACAACATTCCAGTGATAAAATATATAGTGTGAAAGTGTGCAATACAATTTACAAATGCATCAACGCTATCCCACAGTATTGAAGCTGGCCTTCACTCTTCAACATTTTAAAATAAGAAACCAACCAAAAGTCAATGTCCTATGGTGGTATTTCCTAAAGTTTTGTCTAGAAAACCCCCTAGCTTCACAGAGGCCCCATTACAAAGAAGTGCACCCCTACCTTGAAGATTGTGATCAACGAAGACCAGGATTTCTGAGGAAGCTGGCAATCCTAACAAGGGCCTAACATGTCTTAAGTTGCTACTTCATCACCAAGCCCCTAAATCACCACCCCAGTGAGAATACTGCTCAGTGTCCCTTGGAAATGATGGTATATGAGATATGCTTTGGGGAAATGATGGTTTAAAATACAACTGCAACCCAATAAACACACACACATCTGAGGAAGCTTAGTCACAGGCATTTAGGCAGTTTCACTTTGCATAGGTATCTGCTAAATAAACTATGACTCTTCCAACACACAGGCAGAACACAGAGTGTGTGCTAATGTAAAAGTACATGGAAAAGAAGTACTAAATATTCATGAATTCTATGGCTAATTTTCTGGACTTGTGAAAAGTAACTCCAAAATCAAATAATGAGTGTAGATTTTAGTGAATGAATCTCGAATGATAAAAATGAAAACAAAAGCATTAAGTCCCAATAGGCTAGATATTGCCTCAAAATATACTTGCAGAAAAATATCAGGTCCTTAGATTATTCCCCTGGAATTCCAAAGTTAATGTAGAAAACATCAGTAGATGTGATTATACTTCTGGTTTTGTATATCTTAAACAGCATCATCAAGACTGAGAGAGAGTCTCCATTACTTTGAAATGCACATATGCAATCACGGGCAGAAACAAGAATCACTGAAAGGTATTTCCACTGAAAACTGTGAATTGCAGATAGCTAAACACTATGTGACCTGTGTGTGTGTGTGTGTGTTTGTGTGTGTGTGTGTGTACATGTGTGCATGTGTACATGTGTGCATGCATGTGTAATGGCAATCCTTTTAAAAATTGCCCAGAATTTGATTTCTGTAAACAAGGGTACTGATTTTGGCTGTGAGACAGCATCCATGGTGTAAGTGTAGTCTCTGAATTAGTCATCATTTGTGTGTACAACTCTTCGGGAAAGCTTTGCAATCGCAAGAGTCCACTTTGGCTCAGAGTCCACCAGCCTAAAGCTCAGCTTCAGTATCCAATGCTTTAGTTCATTTCTGTTCAGCACATGTGAACAAGAACACTTTGGAATCACTCTATACCAGCTGATCTCATTAAGAAAATTAAATAACAAGCTTCGTTCTTAAATAAGAAGTGGGTTTCTTTTTGTTTTTGCTACATTTTCTCTTCTTTTTTCTTTTTCCTTTTTTCCTATCAATGAAAGTCAGCTCAGCTTGAATCAGAAAGTAAATCACAGTGAAGCAAGGGATCAGTATTACCGGGGGTAGAAGTGTAGATGAAACTATCCGTTTCTCATCTGCTCAGCACTGGCTTACCTGGGTGAACCAGTTGCCTAGAGACCGGTGTGATCAAGATCTGCACATGCAGTTGTAATGGCCATGTCCTTGGTTGTCACTATTTAGAAGATACACTGTGTGTCTATTCATTTGTCCTCATGCCCTGAACCTTGCTCTGTTTTGAGAAGTTCTATTCCGACATTCCTTGTGGTATTTTCTTCAGGGGATCCCTTGTAGTTCTCAAAACTGGCAGAGGAGCCTGGGATATTACACGTGACTCCTGAGACCTGAAACAGGCCGTGCATGCTACATTTGGTGCACGGCCTGACATCACAGTCCTGTGGCACTGCAATCTTCCTGTCCTATGGCACAAGTCGCCTCTCTGTTCAGGCCACCAAGCCCAGTCTTGTAATCTTAGCAGACAGGAAGGAATGGATGATGAAAACGATCGGCTTGGGGCACGAGTGAAGGTCCAGTTGCTGAAATTTAAAAAGAAAGAGAGCATTCGAGAGTTTCAATTAATGCTTGGTGCAGCACAGTGATTTTCACACGAAGTCAATCTATACACACTTCTGACTTAGGAGTGTTAAACAGAGCAATCCTATCCTCAAATCTTTGTTCTCAAGGAGATAAGGGAATAACTCTCCTAACTGTTCCTTACATCTCCCATAGCTTTTTGTCTAAGACAACTTCTGACGAATTTACCTATAACAATTCCATAAGTATGGATGGGAACCTTCCTCGTTGTCTGAACCATTTGTTTTCGACTCCACAACAGTGATGTTTATGCTGACATTCATGCAGCATGCAGCAGTTCAAATTTCACATCTCAAGTTGTTTGGTTCTTGGTTCTGACAGTTTTTTTGTAATGTCTAATCTTGGCCAACTCACTTAAGATCCTTCTCGGCCCTACTAATATGCAAGGCAATGAGAATGTTAAATAGGATCCTGCATGTGACACTCCCTTGTGAATTGTGAATCCAGAGCTCATACTTAACATTCCTGTCTTTGCCACTGTCTGCTCTTGAGCCGTTGTGGACATATCCATCACATCTCTCTGATGGTGACGTCTAAAGTATTAGCCTTCTCAGTGTGGTTCCTGCACGACTCACAGCATGTCTGGCTAGAGCATCCAACACCTTCAGAAGGTGAATTATCACTTCACCTGAGTCAGAAAATCTTGGGAAACTTCCAGATCCCTTTTCTGCTGCCCTAAGTTTTGTTCTGATGGTGGCATTTCCGTGCAATGAGAACAAAGTGTGTGTACAAGAGCATCAAACTTAAGATGGTATTGTTATAGGGCAGTGTCTTGGTTTCTGTTTTATTTGTTGCTATGATAAAATGTTCTTACAAAGGCAACTTCGAGATATATATTTACTCACAGTCCATCATGGCGGGAAAATCAAGGCAAGAAGAGCAGCTGGGCTGGACACCGTGCATCCCCAAGCAGGAATGGGGATGAATGCACTCTGCTGCTCTAGGATCCTGGCTAGGGGATGGTGTCACCCATTGTGGGATGGGGGGGCACTTCTACCTCACTTAATTCAGTCAAGATAATCCCTCAAAGTCAAATCCCTGAGAGGTAGTAGCAATTAACAGTTTCCATTTCACAACAGGAAGAACCAAGATCTAGACATGTATTAAATTTTATAACCCTGAAACCACAGCTTTTACGGTTAATAAGAAAGTGTGGACTCACACACAAATCTATCTGATGTCATAGCTGGAGATTAATTACCATATCCCATGCCACTAAAAGAGGACACAGCTTTGAAAAGTGACATGAAAAACTGTCTGCTTCAATCTCTGCAGTGTACAGATAGGGTGACTTGAATCCCAAGGAATAAAAGGGGCAAATTCGTGTTGGACACAAGCAAGGATAAAACAAGAGACTAACTCCTGTTTGTTCTCACTTTGCTATAAAGTAGTTGCCTTTAAAAATGAGCACACAGATGGATAATGGACAGACCAGGAATGAATGAAAAGCGTTTTAATGACAGGGCCTTTCATGCCACTCCATTTGAGCCATGGCTTCAGGCTACATTTAAAGAGCTAGAATATAGAAATGTAAAACACAAAATTCAGAGAATTCACTGGAAAATGGATCAAAACTCTGAGAATCCACTGAAAAATGAAAGGTGTTCTCAGATGGTGAGTAGGGGTCTCCTGTCAGCCTTGGTCATGGACATGGTCACCACTGCCTAAAGTACTCATGACAACAGCCTGGGTTTGCACAGCGGTCAGCAGTGCCATGTGATGTGGAGCTGTCTTAGTCTTTTAACTCTGTTTACTGTGAAGGTGGCCCTTTTCCCTAGTCAGTTTCTTCTGGGAACTCCAAAATGTCACCCAAATACTTCCGAGTAAAGCCCACAGAAGAAACACCCGTACAGCTTGTGAGAGGAAGCAGGTAGAGGAAGGAGGGATAGTAGAAGTCCAGTAGCTGAAGGAAAACAACTGTTATTTTTCTTTTGGATGTTTTTTTTTTTTGGTTAGGGATTAATCTATGTGTTTTAAATTTTCTCTGTTCCTGTTGCAGCAGGAAGTCAAACATATTTTCTGATGGACACAATGGATAGAGTCGAGTTCCTACAAATTCAAGGACATGACTGCAGTTCTATTCTTGACAGCTTAAGTGACATTCTTCTTCTAAGAAATGCCATGGACCGTGACTGCCTGCAGACTGGAGAACACAGCATTGTCACCTTCCGGGAAACTGGACTTCATACGTGTTTTTGTCATAGTGGGAACAGTGACCACAGAAAAGGGCTAATGTAAACACAAGGACTGTTTGCATGGGTGTGAGATGATGTGTGGCTGTTACCTTAACCAGGAGTATTGCTTGATAGTAGCTCCCAACTTTGGTAGCCTTGCCTGTCCCCCTGCCTGACTCAGATGATGTCTACTTTCTATTCCCCAACTGACTTTAGTTTTTTACCCCTGGTAGTGTTTATTTTGCATAGCTGCCCTCATCCCCATCACCTGACACAATGCCAAGGTTATATTAGCTACTTTGTGCATCTTTAAAATGAATGGTACATGTGTTAAAACACCTGAGAAATTTAATACGAACATGATAAAGTATCCTTCCTCTAGATTCAAGTATTTATGTCACTTCCTTCCTTCCTTTCTTTCTTCTTTCTTTCTTTTTTGTTTTGTTTTTCGAGACAGGGTTTCTCTGTATTGCTTGGGAGGCTGTCCTGGAACTTGCTCTGTAGACCAGAGCTGGCCTTGAACTCACAGAGATCCGCCTGCCTCTGCCTCCCGAGTGCTGGGATTAAAGGCTGTGAACTCATCTTTTACAAAGTGCTGTATGCCATTTTCTAATGAAAAATGAAACCAAAGGAAAGAACTTGAGATAACTGGACCCGTGTTTGGAACTACTGAATCCAATCCAGCCTTCTCGAGGAGCAACTGCAACGGGAATCTGCAGTTATCAGCTGGGTGTGTAACACTGGAAAGGCATCCCATCATTTCTGAGTCATTACAGATGTGTTGCATAATGAAGCAGATGAAATCACACGGTCACAAGAAAAAGAGCACTTACAATCTCTCCTTCTTTGCCTCCAAAGTCTAAATAGAGCATCCTGATTCCGTCATCTGAAGACATTTTGAGCTTCTCATAAGGTGACTGTATGATTGTCTTGGGAAAGGCACCCTCCTGAGGCTCAGTAGAAATAGAAAATCCATTGTCATAATGTATGGTCAAGCGGCATTCCTGGTTTCTGTAGGTACAGGCTGGGAGTTGGAGGGAGACACAGGGGAAATCAATCCATCAGTCCATTTACTTGGGCGTTTAACTATTTTAGTTTCTTCAACCCAGTGTCCACCCACAAAGTTCTTACTAAAGTGAGAAAAAAGGAACAGAGTCCCTATGCTTCTTAGATTGACTTTGATGTTAGAACTTAGCAATCGTCAGGAACTGGGGTTCAGTGCTTGTGTTCTGGGCTCCCGTCCTTATCTTGTCTTCTGACGTGTGCCAACAGGAAGAGTAACCTTGACTTCCCACAGCCAGGTGGGCCTGGCTTTCATCCAGAAACAACAGACATTTTGTTTTAATAAAGTAAGACACTTCTGCATCATTATCATTAACACCGCCATCATAGCATCTGCGTGGGTACACACGCACACGCGCGCACACACACACACACACACACGCACACACATACGCACGCACGCTCGCACACACGCACATACTCCCTTGCTCCACTCCCTTCTTATGCTATTGAAGTCATCATATACAACATGTTTAAGAAGCCATAAGTGAGTTTATAAGTAAGTGGGGCGTTGGTGGTGCACGGCTTTAATCCCAGCACTCCAGAGGCAGAGGCAGGTGGATCTCTGTGAGTTCGAGGCCAGCCTGGTCTACAAAGATACACAGAGAAACCCTGACTTTAAAAGTCAAAAAAGAAAAAAAAGTACCTTAAAAAAAAAGTCCAACAGAGTGTGTCAGACACCAAAAGGGCAGTTTTCCTCTAATTTCCCCTGAGATTTGGGGCCCAGGAAATGTTGCTACAGACAGATCTGTGGTGTTATACTTTCATGAGGAATGCTTCTCTGTCCCGCTGCTTGTGTGATGTCCAGAAGCTTGGTGTGTGGGGACATGCACAAGGCACCTTCATTCCAGAGGAACAAAAGTATAGACCTTGTAAGAAGGCTGGGTGCTGGGCTTTTACCTAGAAGCCGGAAGAGTGTAGTTCTGTAAACCTATTAACTGGACAGGGAGGGGCAGTCTCTGGGCTGCAGATGTAGCCTTTAAATCTTCATCATAGATTCCTGGAAAAGCTTGTCAATAATCAGACGGGGTTTAGCTTCACTCATAATCCACTACTAACAGACCTCTATAGGTGGATTGCTTCAGGCCTTGATCTGTATACCTAACTGAATTTTTAAGGAAACCAGGACACTTTCTTTTCTGGGGAGGGCCTAGGAGCAACACTGTCTCACGACAGTGTCATTAATGGAGAAACCAGTCAGCCTCACCCATAGCTCTGCTCCGCTTTCTAAATATACCGGATACAATTTTACCACGGACTTCAGAAGTAGAAATATTTCACTAGAATTACAGAGCTTAAGAAAGCTAAAGCTCAGAGAGGAGACTATCACCACCTGCCATGCTTAGCTTTGAACCGTCAAATTCCTTTTCCTGTTTCATCTTCCTTTCCCCATACCCTGGCACTCAAACGTAGAGGGCTTTGGGGCAGGACCTTGACAATGAGTTTCTCAGCCTTCCTCTCTCTCGAATAGTGACAGGTGATGACAGTTTGATAGGGATACCTTCAGATTTGGGGGGAAGAAATAGGATGTGTATTGACCACAGAGTTAGGTGCTCTTTCAAATGAACACATATGCCCCTTCCCTGACTTCCTCTAAGCATTTCACACTACGAACTCATCTAATTTTTTTGGTATGAGACAGGGTTTCTCTATATTGTTTTGGAGGCTGTCGGTCCAGCCTGGCCTCGAACTCATAGAGATCCGCCTGCCTCTGCCTCCCGAGTGCTGGGATTAAAGGAGAGCGCCACCACCGCCCGGTTCCGAACTCATCTTTTACAAAGTTTTTCTCTGACAGCTCTCAGTGCTTTTCCCTCTGCCACCCCTACCCCCAGTCCAGGGACAACTAAGGATGGTGTCACAAAAGCAGCAATGACTTCCCATCATTTTGCCAATGTTTATGTCTTACACCTGCAGCACATCTAAATGAGCTCTAAGCATAGCCGTGTTCATGCTTTCCCCACGTAGGAGCTGTAAAGTCGTGTGTTAGAAAGACATTGAGGCCAGAGCAGTAGCAGATTCATCTTTCCTGCCTTTGTGTGTCAGTGGGACACTGGTAGTTCACAGGCAGCCGTACTCACTGGTGCTGATTTCGGTAGTGAGCTCCGCTGAATTGTGGCACCCCTGTACTATGCTCCTTGTCCAGTGCGAGAGGTCCCTGCTGATCTCTGCCCTGAAGAGATGTGTTTCAATTCCTTGCTTAGTACCAGTTCGCGTTGCAAAGGATAGATCCATAGCAGCCTGGGGTGATCCTTTCCCTGGACCTGAATGGACAAGCCTGGAGAGGAGGGGTGGGGGAAAGAGGGAAAGAAGGAGGGAAGAAGAGAGATTAGCATTAAAATGCACTTTAAAAAAAACCCCTGGCACATCACCTAGTAAGAGCCCCACACTGATGCACTACTCTCATTGTTGTGATGTCAAGTCAAACACTTGTTCAGTGGTTTCCCACTGTCCTCTCCCCAGGATTAAAAATCATCCAAGAACTGTGCGTGCATTTGTTTAAATATGCAGAAGATTCAAATAGCTTGATACCCCTTATGCAAATCCAAATATGCTTAGGAAATAAACAAATAGATGAATGGGTGAGAAAAAAAAAAGACTGGAATTCTGTGTAAAATTCTCTCCAGTTCAGTTCCAACCCCATGCAAATTCGTGTTCCTGTCTGGTCACAAGAAAGGAAAATGAATCTATTGTACTAAATGGGTGTGAGCCTCCATTTGTCACGTCTCATAGCTGGGAGGATCTGGCTGGACTGAACACACCTCTGGGTATGTATGCAGGTGGGCAGACAGGCCCCACAGACAAGCACACAAGTGAGGATTCCCTTGAAAAAAGTAGCAATCTATTCATCCATCCACGCTGGAGAAAGAACTAGAAATGTTGGACTTCTGAGGAGACGGTAGAGGGTTGCCCTTTAGTGGACATTTATGGGAAGTTTCAGTAGTGTCGTTTTTCCAATTAGGCAAGATTTTTCACGCTGACTTCAGAGCTTGCCTTGGCACACAATGTGACTTCTAAAGTAAATAATTGCCTGCAAGGCCAGAGTTAAAACATGAAGAACCAAAGTACGGTGAGTAGCCCCACGGGCTCGCACTTCTCACACATCCCCTGGAATCGCGATCTCTCCCGCCTGACATTTCAGCCTCCTCTTCAGAGTGGCTCTCATGTCAATCATGTTGTTTCTCTCCAGGGTGTTGTGTTTTCATCCTTATCCAATATGGAAAGGAACACTATGTACTGTTTGCTTGCAAAATATCAGATGCTTAACCACCTACTGTGCAAACGCTACTTTCTTAGGCAAAGGATTTGTTACTTTGAGGGTTAAAATATGTGTAAGGAAATCTGAAAAAATTTGATTTTCCCCTCTGGTCCATAAACTACAGAGACTGAAATAATCAGTGGAAGAGAGTGTATTATATCCTATGGAATTCCCAGTAAGACCCTCGTGTAACTCCGAGGCACTTTCTTTCACCTATAAAGCTGGGGTGTGTGTGTGTGGGGGGGAATGGTTTGCCCAGCCACTTTGAGCTAAAAGGTTATTGGAAATTCTGTTGGATGTGAGACTCACTCCATTTAATGTGTGAATCTCACCAAAAGTAGGAAGGTAGCTTCTAACATGCTTAGAGGGAGATGGCTGGGCACGCAGTGAATGAAGAGGTTTAAAATACACCTGCTGAGTCTGGTTTGTTCTGGCAGGAGGAGGAGGAGGCCATTTTGGAGTAAGAAGTGAGCAAAAGTGACTGTGCTTCTTCTGTGGTTTCAAACTCAATTGACATTAAAGAAAAGAGAAAACATTCTTCTAAATTCTGGTGTGGGACTTAAGTGGATCGAGGTAAAAATTCATGAGAAAAAAAGTATCTTTCTAATACATAGGTAGATATAACCATCTAAGAGAAGCAAAAATAAAAACAACAAAAAACAAAAACCATGGTTTTAGTTGCTCAAGGCAGTGTGTGTGTGTATGTGTGCGCGCACACACATGTATATGGGTACATGTGTGTTCAGGTGTGTAAGCAGATCAGGGGACCACCTCAGATATTGTTCCTAAGCTACTGTCCACCTTTTTATTTTTGAGGTAGGGTCTCTCACTCCTGGAGCTCACTACACAGGCTAGAATGTCTGGCTAGTAGTCCCAGCAATGCTTTGTGTCCAGCTTGTCCAAGTTGTGGAATTACAAGCTTATGCCACCACACCTGACTTTTCAAGGTGTTTCCGTCTTCAAAGTTGCTTAAGTTTCTTAAGCAAAGTTGCTTAAGTTTCAGTTGCTTTTAAAATTCTCTTTTAAAATCTTAATATCAAGCTTAATTGACTGCAAATGCCAGGCTACAAGTTGAATTGAACAGGGAACATAGGTTTGGGAGGCATAAAATCCTGTGATAAAACCCCATTGGTTTTATATGCCACATATTTACTCATCAGGTAGTGCTGTGGAAATTAAATAACATTATTGATATACTGTTACTTGTTCTGAAACCAGCATGTGGCTCACACTCAACAAATAGTTTTATTCCTTACACTTACAAGTTTTATTCCTGCTCCATAGGACTAGGGTATATATATATATAGTGTGTATAAATATATATATGTACATATATATATTAAAAAACTTAAAAGTATGTAGTTCATTGCCTAGTATATCATGGTCAGCACTCAAAAAAGTTTGTTCCAATTCTGTCACAATCAGGTGCTGGTGGTACTGTATTATGAAGGCAGAAGCAAACTGAGAAAAAGATGTACCGTGTCAGAGAGAGAGAGAGAGAGAGAGAGAGAGAGACTGAGACAGAGAGACGTAGCGAGAAAATGTATATCAAATGAATATTTTTTTCAAGAGAGTTTATAATATTGACACAAAGTATAACTATAAAATGAAATTTGCTAAGGAATATCCATTTGGTAGCTTTGAGGGTGATGGGATGGAATATAACAGGTATGAGAAAGCCCTGAACCCGGCCAGCCCATGTGATGCACCTGGAGACTCTGTGGGGCAAGTAATGATAAAAGAAAAACTCATAGATGTGACTAGTGGCATTCTTCAGTACTTATCTCATCATTGAATTCTCACTGAGTGAAAAGGAAAGAGGAAAAATTGATTTTTCAACACATCAAGCTTGAATTATGCAATATTTATAATAAAGGCTGAAAGGTCTTCCATCCAAGGAAGAGCATACAGGTAAATTGTGTGTGTGTGCATGTATGTGTGTGAGTCTGTGTGCACGTGCGTGTGTGCGCACATGCATGTGTTTTAATGTGCCAATATTGGTGCAGTACTGTATTAGCGCACTGAGATCAAAACAACACAATAGCTGTTTCTGGTACCTAGTGTATATGGTGGCGACAAAAGGAGTCTTCCCGCAAATTGAATCCGCATGAAATCCACGTATCTACTGTGTGCATGTGTGCAAGTCCTCTGGATGGAACATTACATAGATCCACGAGATTATTTTTTATACATACTATGTGTCAATATGGGAAAGACATTTATTTTTATAAAGTTCTAAAGACACTACTCAACTATATAAGAAGAACGTGTAGAAACAGGTCCATTAAAATGTCAAGCAATTTTATAGGTTATTTAATTCATTTTTTTTAGAAAAATAGTCTTCTTTTTAAAATTAGACTCCCCCAAGAAACAAACACTACAGAATTTCAAAAGCCTGGAGACTGAAATGAACTCAAATCTTTCAATTATTAGAATTAGGACTTTGTAATACTAAAAATGTAGAAATTCAGACTCAACATGTTTTCAGTGTTGTTTCTTGTTTAATGTTAGTAGCAATTCAGTGTTGGAATATGGAATTCCTCATCTTTGTTATTTGCATTTATTTGTGCATTCTATACTGCCCATGCATGGAAGAAGCACAGTGCACATGGGCTATGGCTATGGAGGAGTTAACTATCTACACAAGGTGAAATGACGCCTGTGGCCTCATTAGTGCCTTATGCTAAATCAACAGGTCCCTAACAGTGACACAAGAGAGAAGCTGAACTCTGCAGATTGAACTAGTAGTAGTCTTTGGGATTCGGGCATCTTCTGAGGGACCACAGAGGAACTTCCTGCTGTATTCAAGTCACTTCTCACACCCTTCCAGCTGAACACCAAACAAAAATTGCTAATTTATTCATCCCATCAAACAATAAAGATTTTATTAATCCACCATGCTAATATATCTAATTAACATTTATATAGTCTGAAAACTCATGGACTGGACCCCTTCCTCAAAATCATGTACTGAAGCCTAATCTGCAGTATGACTGTGTTTGGACATAATTCCTATAAGGATGTCAACTGTGGTGGTAAGGGTGGGGATTTAGTCCAACAGCAGTGTCTTTAGATGACACTATATGCCCAGACACAGAACTCCACAAGGGAACAGGTATAGGCAGTTATCTGCAAGCTACGAAGACAGCTTTCACAAATAACCCAACAAATTGATGTTGAGCATCTTAACCTTCAATGCAGAAAGAAAGAAATCCCTAAGCCACCCAGTCTATAGGACCTCTTTGTAATGCATACTTGACACACATGGCCCACTCAAGTCCCAAAGCAAGATGGATAAAGATGGGTCAAACCTTGATGAATTCACAGTCTCTTTATTTCAGGTTCAGCCTCTGTTCTCAGGAAATCTATTGTAGCTTTCTTCTTTTTGTGTTAGACAAAAAAAGGGGAATTGTGGTGATATATTATTTATTATGTATTAAAACTTGCCTGAGGATTCAGAAAGCAAAGCCAGCCTCAAGCTATAGAGATCAGGCAGTGGTAGTACACACCTTTAACCCCAGGACTCAGGATTAACAGGTAGACGGATCTGAGTCTAAGACCACGTTGGGTTATTTGAGAGTGAATCAGAGCTCACACCTTTAATCCCAGGTTTGAGAGGTACAAACAGTAGGGGCATTTAGTCTAAGAGTTAGTCTCAAGCTATCTTGAGCAGAGGATAGCGGTCTGAGTGAATCTGAGGAGCAGTGAAGTTGGGAGCAGTCTGAGGATTGTCCGTTTGGTCTGAGCTGAGGTAGAGGTAAGAGCTAGTAACCAGTGGCTTTGCTTTTCTGATCTTCAGTGGCTTTAATAAATCATAAACAATATATCACCACAGATGAGTAGTGGAGAGTGTGAGCTAGGGCGGTGGGAGTGGTGGAGAATCACTTTGTCTTCTTGGGGCAGCTTGTTCAATGCCTCACAACTCATCCAAACTCAACATATCCTGCAGCGGAACTTACGTAGGTAGACAAGGGCCATAGGCTATAAACAATTTCATGGTTTAGTTCTAAGATGAGGAA